TAGCAATGCAAGTAAAACATTCTACTTTTTCTCCCTCATCTTTGTTGCTGTTCTGTAACTTAAATTAACAGACCCATGTATTTGAATTCACTGTCGAGTTACTTATATCCCTCTCCACTGCTTAAAGTAATTCTGAAAAGTTTGAGGTGCGGTGGAACAGATAAGAGCACGAGCTTCTCCTACCTGCCTGCTGCATGCACATTCACAGCTGTCAGAGGTGCACAAGCAAGGGTTTAAGAGGTTCTGTTGCCTTTTGTCTAGGGGATAAAAAATGTGTTCAGTGTAGCAGGAATGGTGGAAATCAGAGTGTGCTGGCTTGCCTGCTGGTGCAGTAACTTAAAAGTAAATTGGTGGTGGTGTAAGTCGCAGGGCCAGCCTACAAACAGTGCTGTCTGAGGAAATGGACTTGGTATCTGGGGTGCTGTGCCAGCTGTGGGTGTAGCAGTTTCCTGCAGAGGGGTGGAGGAACTTCTGAATGTAGCAGCGTGCTAGACTGGTGCATCTGCATCTCCCATGAATCAGAGCGCAACCACGCAAATCTCAACCTGGCCAAACAAGATGCTCCTGGCTGGTACGTGAAATCATGGTGCCAGCTTCCCCTTTCCTCCCTGCCCCAATCTCCATTTTCAGCAGGCTTTTTGGTACAAAAGAAACATGACTGTGCCTACCAGCCAGCTAACTTGATTTCTTTTGATTGTGGTATAAAAAGAAGAGTTCACTTTCCTTATCACATTTGTACTTTGGTTATAGTGTCAGGCTTGAGCAGATTAATTAGTTGAAGCTTTGGCCAAGCTGTCGGGGGTATTTAACCCACTGGAGAAAAATGACCCAAGCTGATGATAAACAGGCTTTAAATGCAGAGCAATTACTTAGTGCTAACAAAGCACCATGACTACACACTTTGTCCAAATGCAAAAAGCAAAGCCTTATCGGTGATTCTGTTTGCAGGAGGACACTGAAAGATAACCTTTGTTTGTGCAAATACTTACATGATAAGATCCTCTGAAAGGAAACAGTTGAAATTTCAAGTTCTGTCTTGCCTGAAGGCTGATATATATCAAACAAGAAATAATAATAATCGCAATCTGAGAATGCTTAATTCTCTGTGTTAGTTGGACCCGAAGTCTCAGGGTGGTAAGTTTCTTTCCTGCTCACATTGATTGCTCTCTTTGCTAGCACGTTACAATAAAGCAATTAAAAGACCTTTAACCAACAGGACTTTGGATTTCATTGTTCGTAGGGATTGGCAAAGCTAAAGGGCTGGTTGGCATTGAACTTAGTTTGTTCACTGCAGACTTAATTCTGACTGGTAGCCAGGGTTTACAGCACTGCAATCCTGTGACTCATAACTGTTCTGTTTTGCATCAGTGATGAAACTGGGCTGGCAGTTTCCAAACCTCGTGAAAGCTTAGGAGGTGCTTTTAGTGGGACGTGCACTCAATACCATTTGCTTCTCAGGGGTCACAGGTCACATTCTGAAGCAGCAAAAGTTTGGGTTTTTATTGTGATGAGTCCTAACATCTTGCATTTGACCTCTGCCTAGCTCACTCTGAGTTTTTTCTGTGCCTTAAGATTTGACTGAAAGGACACTGTTTATTGAATGCTTTTAATTGACTTTAGGAAAAAAAAAAAATCAATGTCTCATAGAGCATCAATCAAAAGATTTACAGAGTGGACGTATTTTCTTTTGCTTTCAAATGACTTGCAAGAGATTTCCCATTTGGTGTTTGTAAAGGACCTTTATGTCAAAAGAAAAACTTAAAATACCAAATGCAAACACATGTTTTGGTCTTTTCAGTCAGAGGACTTAAATTAACCCAAGCGTGTTCAAAGCACCTTCTCCTGTGAAAAGTAGAGATGTATTTTCTAGTGAATTGTTTCTGAGTGTAGTTACCCCATTCTGCTCTGCAGTCCATGTCACAATTTTAACCACAGATGTGATTCTAGGCTGATTTGGATGCTATGTAATACTTTGTCCAGATGCTAATGCAGTGGCACACTGATTGTGTGAGTCCCATCTCACCTGCAGTACTCTGATGTCTGGTTTCCTGTGTTCAATTTCAATTACTGTTGGCAGAAGGATGAAGATGAAAGACTTGAAGTCTGCATGAGAAGAAGTATCTTGAGACAAGAAGGGAGAGACACTGAATTATTAAATTATTCCTATGTGCCCTTACTGCAAAATATGTTACAGTCATGTCCCTAGATTTAGAGAACTTTTATGGAAGACCTCTGGAAATGCTGGATGTTATTCATTTTCTTGTTCACTGGACTGTTTAGTGTGGATTTCCTGCCCCAACTGATTTACCTGCATTTTATAGGTTGTTTTCTTTTAAATATGCATTTGTGTCTGGTATTCTAGTGCCTTTTGCGCTTCTCCACCTACTAGAGGTGTAGCTGTTCTCCACCTACTAGAGGCTGACAACGCTGGTGATAAACATGTATTTTGGAGCAATGCCTTCCCAAGTTGCAACAATTGCTCTGAAAGTAATAATGTCTTCCACTTTATTATTTTGGCCTGCAATGTCAGAGGCAGATGCTGGTGGTATGACAGCAAAAGTTGAACCTTCTCATCAATACTCCGTAACATTTTGTTGCTCAACTCACAACAGGTGAGGTGAAGGCACGTAATTTATATTTTAAGAGATCAGGGACTGAGCTTTTAGACTGTTGAAGTGTTTTCATGTTTGTTTTCAACTTTGGCAGACCACAGGAAGATTGCAAATCTGAAACCATATCAGCCCTACTTACTGAGGGTTTTTTAATGCCTCAGTTTCCATATCACAGGAAAGCCATAGTGAAATGACCATAGTGTCATTTCTTTAGTGTCATTCATGTGTGTGTTTCTGTGCCTTACATTAGGCTGAGAGAGTAGTGCCAACTTCTGTTCCTGGAAGTAGGTTTGGAAGGAATGATGAGTGCTGGATGCTGGGTCTGCAGAGTTATTGCTGCACACATGTTTCAGGAGGGGAGGTGGATGTGAGGAGAGGTGTCACCAGGGCCTGTGCTGGCTGAGACCTTTGGCAACGGCCATCACTTGATCCTTAGTTTGCTCTTCGTCAGCATGCTTTTTAGAAGTTACAATTTGCAGGAAATAAAATGCAGTCCTTGAAGGCAGGGGAACATGATGTTAGTCAGTGATATTAGTCATTGACAGTTTCTGCCTTGTGGGCTGTTCAGGCTACAGACTTTCTGTAGCCTAGAAAAGGAAATCTTTCATTAGCTAATTATTTTCCTTAGCAGTACTGTAAGGGCGTCAGCAAATAATACACTTCCTGGCAAAGCTATCATGCTGTTTAGTGCCTGTGTGTGATCAGGAGAGAATAAAGGGGAAATTTTAATGAGATAAATTGTATGAGAGCTGAAGAATACTAAAGGCTTTGAAATGCTGCTCAGAGTTAAGTCTTAGCAATCAATTTTAATAATCTTCTACATGTAAATGAGGAATCCAAGTGTCGCATGTTGTCTGATACCTGGATTTTTGACTGGTTTCTAGCTATCTTTGACACTGTGCCAAATGTTTAATGAAGGCATGATGCAACAGAGCCACTGAAACACATTCACTTCTGATTGAAGCAACGGCATAGTATACAGAACTGAAAGGGGAAAATGCACTGGGCTAGTGAAACAGCTGGCTAGGGGAGATGTGCTTAGTGAGTTAAGAAAGAGCAGGGCATAATCTTGCTCCAGAAGAGTGCCATGAAATAGGCAGCGCCCAGTTGTCAGTGCCTTGCTTGCAGAGCTCTTTCCTTCCCACTCCAACAAAGATTAGTTTTTTTTCCAAAAACACAAAAAGGGTGGCAGGATTTCTTACTGCTCACTTTACATCAGTGAAAAGTCCTAATCCTTCTAAGACGGCTTTGAAAGCACCACCTTAAAATAGTTGTTTAAGGCACCTGATAAGCAGGATGAAACAGGGTGCTTCCATTATTTGTGAGATTCAGTGTTTTGTCAAAGATTGCTGTTGATGCTATTAGGCCTGCTGAATTGTGGTTGAGCTAATTATGTTGTTCCAGTTTCTAAAATCTCTTGAGTTCCTGTGTACTTTGTCATTAGTTTCATATTATCATCAAATTCGTATCGATCTTTCAGTATCTTGACAGTTTCTTTTTGTTCATGTCCGGTGGACTTTCTGTTCATTCAGTTCTACCACTGCAAACTGATCTTCATCAGAGCTTTGTTCATGTGTTAAATAAGGTCAGTAATTTGGTTTCTGCGTTACCTAAAAACTATGTGATTGTCATGATTGTAGTGTAGGAAATTCTTCTCTAAACAATATATATTGTAAAGTAGTTGCTATTCTACATATGTTGGGTTTCTTTTTTCCGGAAGAGCGATGTGATTATCTTCTCAATGGAATGCCTAAGCATGGTGTTAAGTTTGTCCTAGGCAGATGGGAAATAAAGCTGGTTAGCTGCTTGTGCCTCTGTTCGCACAAAGGTAGACATTTTAATTAGATACTTTTCCCAACAGATGCATGGGTTTTCATAAACTTTTCTTGCTAATATCCACTTGACTTCACAAAGTTGATTTTCTCTGTACTCTTACTTGAACTCCATTGTTCATTTTATTAGAAGTCATTCTAAGGACATCTGTTTCAGTTTCTGTAATTTAGCTTTATTGCACATGTTTGTCAGACGATAGTCAATGGTCCTGCTTGAACCTATGTTTTATGTAAGAAAAATACAACTTTCTCAAATAAGTCTTTGTAAAGTTTATTCCAATACAGATTTTCTGTGTACAAAAGGGAATCTATATCAGTCAGTTTTATGGTGGAAAACATGTAGGCAAATGACACTGGTGTGGTATTCATTCTCATTGTGGAAATTGTGGAGTAGTTGTGTCCTTGAGGAATGTTGAAAAGTAGTTAATGACAAATTCTCTTGCTAATGCCTTTGTTCTGCAGTCTCTTGGGGAAGGGAAGAAATCTTTGAGTTTCGCAGTCAAAAAACCCTTGTCTTTTAGAAGCATTTCAGTGCATCAGTTCTTCTCTTTTTCAGGATCTTTCCAAGAGAGTATCTTCTTCAGCAAATCCATCTTTATTCTCTGGCGGACCTCCAGCAGGTAAGTTCATTCATTAATTCTACTTTTCTCTTACCACCTTCTTCAATGCTAATTGTGTATTCCCACTTCAAGTTAACCAAAATGTAAGTTGCTTTACTTTAAAGTGATCTCTGTGGTATATAGTTTGATATAAAAGTGGGCTAACAGGGCATTGGTTAGTATTGAGAGAGAAAATGTAGGGCTGCAGTGTTGAAATAGAACTAGAAATAGGCCACAAGAGAAAACTTTGCTGGGAGAAATTTTCATCTGAAGCTCAACTGGAGACGAGTAGTGACAAGTAGTATTTACTTTTTTGCTTGAAAGAGTAGTTCTTTAGGAATTTGAGTTTGTACAGTCCCTAGTGCAACCTGCCTATTAAGTAAGTCTGCTAGGTATTACAACAATACTAAAAAGGGGAAAAAAAAGTTCATCAAACACACTACAAAGTCAGGCAGTGTTACTATGACCATGGAAGAGATAATGCACCAACAAAACGTGTCTTTGTGTTGGTGTTGATTGAGCTAAGTGAACAGCTTGCAATGCATCTGCCTGAACAGCAGAATTCTGTCACATACAAGATTAAACAAGAAGAAAGAACTGAAAAGGACAGGGAGTCCAAGGTGAATGTGCTGCCATGTTTAGATACACAGTGAAGGAAGCAATGAGGTAAGATTTGCTAGCTGACCAAGGCACCATCTGCTTCTATGCTGTTATCAGTGACATGTAAAACATGTTATTTTAAGCTTCTTCCACTGATAATTCACTTGTCCAATCTTACCATTTCTTCAGGGTAACAGGCAGTATAGTCAGTTTGAGGTGTTTGGTTGATTTCTTAAATTGATGTAGTTCAAATTGCCCTCAGAGCTGGAAACTACAGAGCCACAGATTCTGCAGGTTTTTTGTTGGCTGGTAAAGTCGTGGAATTGAAATGATTCCATATATAAAATAAAAAGGCCAGTCATCCAAAGCAAATTTCTACATCCTTTCAGCATGTTCTGCTATCATCTCTAATAATCAAGGCATGAAATAGCAAGCTACTTAACTCCAGAGCTGCAGTCTCCCTGGTGGGCCTGTCTATTAGCCCCCAGCGCTTTGTAAGCTGCTTAATCAGTTTCCAACACTGGTAGTAGATGTTTTAGAAGCAATCAGCAGCTTATCGAGCACCCTGTGGGAGGGATGGAGGGTAGAAGTCACGATTCATTCATTGATTTAGCAGTTCCCTTTAGTATGTTTCTTTGTGTTTATTTGTGTTTGCAAAACGCCTTCTCTTCCCCTGAGGGCCCAAGCCCCAGATTTATCATGTTTAGAGGCAGTATAATTTGATTACCATTTCTACTGGGGTTGGTTAAATTGGATTTACCTTTTAATCTAGCCATATCCTTGATGTCAGCCTAGAAAGGGTTTTTCACATTTCAGCATCTACAGGTTTGAATTCCCATTATCTGTTTTTGTCAAAATGTAACCAAGTTGGAAAGGGGTTGGAAGGCCCTGGTGAGGGAAATACAAGACCCTGCTGTGTCCCCCACTTTGCCCCTTCCTGCTGCTTTCTCCATATGGCTCGTCATTTTCCATTCAGCTGCAGTTGAGTTGGGGTGTTTTTTAATCCTAAAAGTTTTCTCTCCTTTTGATTCCTCTACTGCCTATTTCTTCATATCCATGAGCTGCTTTTACGCTGTGTCCTGCTGTCATGTATATTGTGTGTGTTTGGAGAATTAACTAAAAGTTTTATTAAAGATTAATGGAAAGATAAAGCATGGTGAGTGAATTAGAAAAGCAGAGAGGGGTAATCTGCAGATATAAGCAACCTTTACCTTGGTTAGTCACAGCTCAATTCTTATTTGTTTCCTAGCCAGATTCTCTTTACAGATCCTGGAAAACAAGCAGTCATTTTCAACCAAGCAGCTGTATTTTAGAAATGTGCTAAGGATCTGTTCTCAGGTACTAAAAAAAAGTTGGAGGTGTCAGATAATCAAGCATCATACAGTGTTACTTTAAAAGGAAACAATTTAAATCTCCATGCCTAGATGTTATGGGTGTGGCAAAGTACTTACTGGTGAGAATGGTTCTAATTTGGATCCAGTTGGCCAGGGCTCTACTAGGGAAGACCTTAACTGAGATTCAAAACTGAGGGAGGAAAAAAAATAGACAAGATGCCATCAGTTTTGGAAACTTGCCTAACTCTCAAGTGAGGAGGTACTTTTTGTAATGGCAGATGTGAGTAGGACCCTACCAGAGGGAGTAGGTGATATTCTTTATTTGTGTATGTGTGTTTATTTAAAATAGAGAAAAACACACATGCATCCCAGCAATATTGCATTGCAAACCAGCATCCTAGTGACTACAGCAAAGTTTATAGCAAGTCCATCCATGGACACTCTCATGGGGAATTTATTCTTAGCTTCTTCTTGTTCTTGTTGTCATTTTAGGCATTAGCAGCTGAGATAACTAAGTAGATGTGTACAGATTTAATGAGCAGAAACTGAGTGTGACAGCTTTCCTATTCTATCCCATTGGTACACTTTTATTTTTCTTTACTTACTTACTTAGCCCTCCCTATGATTACCTCTCCAAAGAATCATTTGTTCTGTGTCACTGCTTAGCCTGCTGCTAAAACATCACTGCTTCCCTGTTAGCCAGTGTATTTCAGAGCTATTCCAATCAACTAATACTTTAAAGAAGACAACCTCCAGTTGACAGGAAGCAAGACTTCACTCTTCAAATTACTGTCTTTAGCAGACGATAATAGACTAAGAAAAACAATTCTTCTTGCTTACATGCAGTATAGTCCCTTCATCACAAACCTACTGCATGTTGGGAACTTATTCTCTGCTGCTGTTGCTAACGTCCACTGGGTTTCTGGACGTGTGAAGGCGATGCGTGCAAATTGGAATTCAAAAGTATCTGTTCATTTTCTGTGGGTTGGAACTATTTTTGGTGACGCTGACAGATTTTACACTGCTAAACAGTGAATTGTACAGGAACTGACTCAGGCAAGAATATTGCATTTCTTTGGAAAACTAATTATTGCTATTTAAACTGGATTCCAGATTAGTGGAGCTTTACAAGTAGAAGACTTGAAGTGCTAATTGTGACGAGCTTGAAGTTCAGGTGCTTAATCCACACAGAACAACTAATATGTCATGCCTGTTCTTTATGTTAAATAGTAAAATGTGCATGTTTACAGTGTTTAATGCCACATTCTTCTTCACACTAGAAAATCTTTTCTTTGTGGAAATGATTTCATCCCAGTTAAACTACCATGAAAAGGTATGGTAAAATAAGGGTCACTGTAACAACAAAAATGACTGGATGTCAGGGATGGCAATGTTGAATGAGATCTGAGATTTGAAAAGATAAAGATACATTTACACAAAAATAATTAGGAAAATATATTTGAAGTTACAGAGCATGGGAATTTAAAATGATGAGTTGAACTGAACTGTATTGAACCACTGTAAATATATTTATTCAAAATATCAGCAGTTTTCATTTTGAAGTGAATTGAGCTAAATGATATTAAAGTCATTTTCATTCTGAATTTTTTTTATCCATAAAAGGACTTAGTGTAGTAATGATTTATCCATTTTTATATCATGGATTAATTAATCCATTAGCATTTAATTAAAGTATCAATTTAATTCACATCAACTTCCCTGACTGTCTTGCTTTGGATGAACACACAGATATTGTGAAGAACTATGGGGAGGAAGAGTGGACAGTAGTTGCATTGTAATGCAGCACAGGTTGTGCAGTGAATATGAGATGGGTGTTAAAATCTTTAATGGAAATGCTTCTTTGCAGCATACACAATGAGAATGAGGAACTTTTTGCCACAGTAATATTACCAAGGCCAGAAGTTTATAATCTTTGAGAGGATTAAGTATCCATAATGAGAATGTCCACTGTTGCACTACTTAAGGTAAAAAGATTATAAGGTTTCAGAATAGACACTTTACTTGTTGAGGGGATTAGGGAGATGTCTGTCAATAGGGAAGATATACCAGTGATTTCATCTTTCTTTGACATACTAGTAGAGATTACAGCATCTGATAGGGCTTTGAACAAAGTGAAAAATTGGTCTACAGAAGCATTTCCAATATAAAAATCTTAATGATTCTGTTCAAGAATTTCAATCACTTAAGTGAAGCTTACGTTGCACCTAATTTGAGTTTAGCATATTGTTAGAAAAGGATTAGAAAGTCTTAGAAGAACCAAGAAGTGGTTAGGACTGGTGTACTTTTTCAAGCTTTTAACCTGTCCTGTACTTGTTTCGTACATCCTTTACGGGTGGGAAATTTGTGTGCTTTCTGTTTTCCTAGACTGAGATGGAGGAAGTTGGTGATGCTTTTTTGTAGCATTTTGGAAAAAAAACTGCTTGATAGCTTGTAATGAACCAGGTCTGTGCTACAAAGTTTTGATAACACAGCAGTTTCTTCTGTGGAAGTGATAGGAAGTGGTACCTAACAGGCCTGTGCTAGTGAAAGCCAGTAGTGCGCATGTGGCTGCACTGATTGGCAAAACTGGGTTTTGGGCAAAATACTTTGGGGTTGGTTAGAGTTGTTCCTGGAATAGGTGCATGGCAAAAACAAACACGCACACTTAATGGATATAGCTGTACTTACAAAGTACTAGTGCAAACTCAGTTACCTATATGAGAAAGTGTCTTGCTGGCATCATTTGTTTCATTCAGTGAATCAATATAAGATGTATCAGCTTAAACATGTATTTACCAAAAAGACTTACCCATGTAGCTGTACCAGCAGATCCTTCTAAGTTTAGACAAGCCCTTACTTTGCTTGAGGGGCAGGAGGTGGCAAATGAGAAGGGGAATTAAGGTTTTGTCAGACTTGGCTATGCAATCCTGCTGAGATGGCTGAAAATTTGGCTTTCACAGTTTTCTGTGGGAGTTCACTGAGCTCAGCAAGGGCAGCAAAATGCAAGGCACCTCTCTGTCATAACTTCCGTGGTTCACTATCCAGCATGGTAGTGAAAATATTAGCTTTATGTCTCCAACCTCCTGA